TCTATTATACTGGTAGTGATGTTATCACACTTCCATGATACACCTTATCTATTATACTGACAGTGACGATATCTCACCTTCCATGATATACCTTATCTATTATACTGGTAGTGATGATATCACACCTTCCATGATATACCTTATCTATTATACTGACAGTGACGATATCACACCTTCCATGATATACCTTATCTATTATACTGACAGTGACGATATCACACCTTCCATGATATACCTTATCTATTATACTGACAGTGACGATATCTCACCTTCCATGATATACCTTATCTATTATACTGACAGTGACGATATCTCACCTTCCATGAGTTAAAATTTGCATGAGTCAATATACAATTACAGTGAATCAATTTATTGATTATTGTACTTTTTTTTCTCATAACATTATCATGCTATTGTTATTTTTGACAGATGTTGAGCCCCCTAAATTGACGTGTCCAGATACGCTGGTGATTGAAACAAGTGAAGAATATTTTGAGGTGGTTTTTGCAGATTATAATTTGACTGTTGATGCTACTGATAATGTTGGCGTTGTTGATATTGTATTTTCATCTGGAGATAATATTACAGTATTAACGTTCACTTATGCAACGGTCTTGGTTCGTGGCTATGACGCTGCTGGTAATGTCGGAGAATGTGCCTTTGATATCTATGTCATTTGTAAGTAATTAATTTATCATACATGTAATTATTATAAAATAACTTAAAGGAAAATTATTTGTTTATCGATATCAATGTTGTTCTCCTAAATTGTTATTTATTTATTTTTTTATCGTACTTGTTCGACTCAGCTCCCATGACTACAGCCATTTCCCACAGACCATATTAATTTACACCTTAAATTATGATGGTATGTAAATAATATTGTGATAAAACGTGCATGCATTTTTGGGATCTGTTCTGTTCTGTTTTGTCAACTGACGATGATAATTTCACAATTTTATTTCCATCAAATTCCACATATTATTCTGATACTATACTGATACTATTTTTTGAGTGGGTGCTCGGCTAAGTGCCCACCTCCCAAAAAATATGATTTTGTGATCTGAGTACCCTGGGCTCTAAGTTGGACGAGTATGGTATATATAATATCTATTCATATAATTTATCAAATTTATGAATTTACTGTATTTGCATGGTAAATTACATAGATTTTTCTATTGTCAAAATAAATAAGATTTTAATGATTCAATATACAACAATTGCAGTGGGAGGTATGGTTATTGTAGAACAAATATGATAATATCTATTTCTATTTGTACTTTGTGTTTTCTGGAAAATAGATAAAATCAGACTGACATGTACTTTGTGAAATATAACAACAATCCATGTTGGTGGGGAAAGAGTTAAAAAAAAAAATTAAAATTGATTTTATTAATTTTCCAATTTCATGTTATTATTATATTTTTTTTATTGTATCTTCACAGTGAAAGGATGTCCTGAATGGTCCTTGCTAATTGATGAAGGAGGCATTAAGAGTTGTCAGTCATATGTTGGTCTGACTTGTAATGTAGCATCTCCTGATGGATATGACTTCACACAGCCACTACCCCCGCTATACTATGCTTGTTCAACTGAATTAGGTTGGGTACCAAACAATAGAGTACCCGGAATCTCACGTAAGTACATAAAGTTGTTTTTTGTTTTGTGGTTTGAACTGTAATGTTCTTGTATATTGCTATTGTATTATATGTACGAATGATTCTAAAACATTTAATAAAACAGTTGTACAACTTTTTTGATGACAATGTAAAACACTGACTGAAGTTTAAAAGTGAGAAACTATGCCGAATAAAGATGGATATTTTTTCTTCAGTTTTCAATATTATCACAAAGGAATAATGGTAATCATATTGACTGACACATAGCCTCGTGAAACTGAGTGGTAGGCTCATTCACTAATCACTACTAAAATTATTATATTTTTCTGGGGAAAACACTAGGCACTTCAATCAACCCATTTTGGACAGGAGCCTTTTACATTGTAAGTCTGGTTGGGACTGTTCAATTGTGGCGGTTATAGACATGTGCCCACTTTACAGGTGGCTGTTAACATAGGTTTGGCTGTAGTTTGAATTTATCTTAATTTATTTCCTGTTTCTTTTCGACAGAGAATGAAGTGCCAGACTGTTCTTTGATTGTGAAAGCTAACTACACAGCTGAATGCCAAATGTATGGAGACTGCTTTGATGTATATGAAGATATGATTGAAGATAAAATGAATGAACTTGCACCACTTCTATTGAATGATTGTAGTGATGAATTGAACGCCAATGCCGAAATACGATATCGAGTTATGATAAGGCCAATAGGAGTGGATATTGTGAGTAAACAATTTATGTGACTTTGGACTGAACATTTCTAAAGATGATGGTTAAGATTTCAAGATTGTGATCAAATTTTGATGGAAACATGTAAGCATATGAAAATTATGCTCATTTTGGTCTAAATTAACAAAGGACTTTTACCTTTATTTTTGTTAGTATTGAATGCCCCTCTCGATCACGCTGTACTAGCATTTAAATCTAATTATTGATAGTATTATGATTACAACCCCCTCCTCTAGAGAGTCTGACAGTATTTACAAATGTCTTGATTAATTACTAATCGTTCTAATGTTTTGAATGATATATCCATTCAAAAAAATCTGTAAATCACTGTCAAATGACACAATCATATTCATAGAGTTACTGGCACCAATCATCACTCTTGATTTTTAGAGCTGAAAACAAATCATGACCACAACTAGCTATGCACATGAGAAAAGAGACAGCAGTGCAGCACATTGGCAAAGCCTGCCATTGGAAACAAAATACTTTTTAGTTTTCCAACGCAAATAGATAATGGACTGCTCCATTCCTGTGGATTAGTGTTGAAAAGACTGACTGCTCTTCAGAGTCTGGGAGTAAAGTTTAATACATTGACATATATGTCATCTCCATGGAAACTATGATTTGCAAATCCACATGAAGCTTTTTAAAAAACTTATCTCAAACCCTTTGAAAACTTTCTTATGAAGCCTTCCGACGAACACTGAGTTTCAGAT